GTCATCCCGGTGCTGGCTCCCAAGGCCCACACGCTGTTTTCCTGAACTTTAAACCCTCCGCACAGGCTGAACAAGGTCTCTGAAACGGTTTGGCGCCGAGCGGAACCGTACCCTGCAGGAATTCAGTGCAAATAGTGCATACGGTAAACACAGCGTGGGTTTAAGCAAGTTCACAGTCTGACATGCGTGACCTGGGGTCCCTCGATGGAGGGTGACCATCACTGGGGCGTTTGGTCTGTCTCTGGGAGTTTCGGTGTGGTTCCCAGCAGGGATGGGACACCCATCCCAGTGCCACCCCGATACATGTGCCTGTGCCGATGCCTCGGAGCGCGTTCCCAGCCGGCGTGCAGGAGCCAAGAGCTCCCGGTGCCCGCGCTGACCCCGAGGACGAGGACAAGAGGTGAAGGGACGGCAGGGGACAGCGGCTGCGAGCCTGGTGGGATGGGAGCGCTGGGTCACGAACCCCATGGGCCCAGCGGGTCTGAGGACAGACCCGAAACACACGGCTGGGGACAGCGTGGACCTCCAACGCGCTGCGGGCACCGTCTGTTACATGGCTCACTACGTGTCCCACCGAAGGCGCTTCCCCCGAGGACACCAGGAGCTGCTTTGTGCCCTAAAGTCCCTATAGATACCTGCCCTGTGCAGCTCGGGGGCCCGGACCCGGGCTCTGGTGTGGCTGTGGGACCCCACGAGCGCTGTGGGGTGGGAGCCACGCTACCTGGCGTGGGGGCTGAAGGATGCAGGTCAGGAGCATCTTTGACCTGAGAAGGATGTGCCCCAGTTCCCCTGGTCCCCACCAGCCTTAGGTGTCCCTGCACCCCGGGGTCCATGGGCGCAGGTGTCTAGGGGAGCCACAGCACCGTCCCCGTCTCCCTGGCCTGGAGATGCTCTACCCTCACCCCACCCGCCACGGCCCCAGCTCCCACAGCACAGCAGGGGCACGGCTGCAGCCTCCGAAAGCCTCGTCCCATGTGAGAGATGAAGGAGATGGAGAAGTTGCCTCCCTCAACCTGCCTCACAGCTCCCTCACCTCTGCGGCATCTCTCCAGGGATACAGGGAGGGTCTAATCCTGCCTTCAGAGCACCTGGCTGGGGATCAGACCATCCCGTGGACCCTGGCGTAGGAGAGCCCAGGCAGG